CCCGCACACAAAAAGAGAAAATACATGTGTATTCCAAGAAGCCTGAAGAAACGCAGTAAAAAGATCACAAACAGCATTTATTCCTGATTTAACAATATTTATTATGGCAGCTGGTGGCACAGTGGGTAAAGCTGGGCCTGGAGCTAGGAAGACCCAATTCAAATTTAGCCAAAGACAGCAGAAGCTTAACCTTTGTCTACCTAGGTTTTCTAAACTGTAGAAGAGAGGTAATAAAAGCACCTACCTCCAAGAGTTGTAGTCACGCACAAAGAAGATATTCCACAAGTACTTAGCCCAGTGCCTGGCACATAGTAGGCACTATATAAACGCTAGCTATTGTTATTCTTCACCCACTGTGAGCACAGCATTGTATTAGAGAAGATGCAAAGAAGCACAGTCCCCGCCCTCAGTGAGCTTACAATCTAAGGAGGGTAGTGATGGGGATGCACCGTCATGCTCACATGTTAACTATACCTTCAGAGTGAGGTAATTGCAAAGGAGAGATGCCAGAAGGGTTTCCTACAAGGAGCAGAACTTCGCCTGGCCTGGGGGAAACGGAGGGGCGCACAACAGGGAAACAGAACGACCCCGTTTCCAATCCTTTGGTGCTTTGTAATGCTGGCTGAAACAGTAATGAGTAGTTTCAGAGCGTTGTAGAGTTTGCAAAGAACTATGTGACATGAAGAGGAGCCTTGCTAACCATCCAGTCTGTCAAATGCCGCCCAACCTTGCAATGGGACACTTTGTGAGCCCCTTCTCATGCTTGCAGGGGTTCGAGCATAGGCTGAATGAATGACCGCACGCCAGGGACGTGAGGATGGGATTCCTGCACTTGGGCGAAGGGCAAGCTGGCTCTGAGGAGTGTGCGGTCCTGAGTTTGAGGGCCAGGGCCTGACTCCTGGAGCTGTGCAACCTCGGGCAAATCCACTCCCCTCTCTGGGCCTCAGTTTCCTCCTTTAGAAAAGTAGCCTTGGAGTCAATGATCTCCCTCTAATATCCTAGGATTTCCACGACCAGGCCCTTCAGAAGATGCTGACTGAATTCTAAAAGCTCATCTGGTAAGAGTAAGACCAAAACTGTTCCTCTTTTACGGAGGTCTCCGTCCTTGTAAATAAAAACCAAGCCCTGAGCACTGACCTCAATTCAATTCAACAACTTTATTAAGTGCCAGGCTCTGTATGATAGGCTGAAGACAAAAAGGAAAGTCCCTGCCCTCGGACAGACGAAGTATATGTACTTTGTAACTAAGTACATAAAGCATGTGTACTATGTAAACATGGAAAGAACATGAATAACTGGGAGGAGGTTAAGGAAGGCTTCAGGTAGGAGGTGGCCCTTCAGCTGGGCTTTGAAGGAAGTCCGGGACTCCATGAAGTGAAGCTGAGGAGAGGAGAGAGAACCTTCCAGACATGGGGGAACCACCTGGGCAAAGGAAGGGAGGCAAGAGATAGAACGTGCCATGCACGGAGAGGAGGCATTGTAAGCCTGTTTGTCTGCAATAGAGAGGACACAGAGGGAAGGAATAGGAAATGAGTCTGGTTGGGAGCTAGACTTCGGAGGGCTCTAAATGAGAAGCTGAAACATGAAGAGGTAAACAGGAAAGAGAAAATCATTAAGAGACTTATTATGGTTGAACTGTTTACACTCCTGCATGGAAAGATATTTGTAACTGAGACCTTTGTCAGTATTAGGGTAGTTGGAGGGAAAAAATTATATGTATGTATATATAGATATAGATAGATAGATAGAGGGCACAGGGTGAGTTGAAAATGAAGGGGTCATATCTGGAGAATAAGATTAAGGGGGGAAAGAGGATTATACTAGGAAAAGGAGAAAGGGAGAGGTAGAACGGGGTTAAATTATCTCACAAAAAAATAAACAGAAAAGAAAAGGCTCTTACAGTGGAGGGGAAATGGGGAAGGTGAGAGGGAATGAGTGAATCTTATTCTCATAGAATTTGACTTAAGGAGGGAATAACATACACACTCAATTGGGTATGGAAATCTGTCTTACCCTACAGGAATATGGGGGGGACAGACAAGGGAGTAGAGGGATGATAGAGAGGAGGGCAGATTAGGAAAGGGGATAATCAGAAGGAAGTACTTCTGAGGAGGGTCGGTGTCAAAAGAAAAAATAGAATAAATGGGGGGTGGGATAGGATTAAGGGAAATAGAGTCAGGTTTTCACAGCATGTCTACATGGAAGTGTTTTGCATAACTGCACATATATAACCTATATTGAGTTGCCTGCCTTATCAATGAGGGTGGGTGGGGAGGGAGGAAGGGAGAAAATTTGGAACCCAAAGTTTCACATGCAACTTGGAAATAAGAAACACAGGAAATGGGGTACAGAAATCCATCCTGCCCTACAGGAAAATTGAAGGAGAAGGGGATAAGAGAAGGGCGGGAGAGATAGAAGGGAAGGCAGACTAGGCGAAGGGGTATTCAGAATGCATGCCATCTTGGGGTGGGGGGAGGGGCAAGATGGGGTGAAAATTTGGAACTCAAAATCTTGTGGAAGTAAACGTTGAAAACAAAAAAATTTAAAAAAAGATAAATGAGAAGCTGAGGATGTTGTACCTCCTAACAGAGACAAGAGTCTGACATTCAATGTCAGCGTGGGGGTCAAGTGGGGGCACTATTCCATGGTCACATCTGGATTTTAAGAATACCATTTTAGGGGCAGCTCAGTGGTACAGTGGATAGAGCTCCGCCTTGGAGTCAGGAGGACTCAAGTTCAAATCCAACCTCAAACAGTTGACACTTACCCTGGGCAAGTCATTTAACCCTGATTGCCTCACCAAAATATAAAATAAATATAAATATAATAAATTTCTCAATAAATATAAGTTTAAATATATAAATATAGTAAATATAATATAAAAATATATATATAATACATACATAATTTTGGCAACGATGAGAGGTAGAGTGGACGAGACTTATTGACATGGAGGTTGAGGGATAGTGAAGATACAAGGACTGCAGCAGGATTGGGAACCCAGTGCATTCTGAGATTACCTTCCATTTAATCTGTACACATCTAGAAAGTAAAACTTTTTACATTTTGTCTCCCTTTTAATGATCATGAGCTCCTTTAAGGCAAGGACTATTTTCCACTTTTCTTTGTATTCCCAGTGCTTAGCACAGTGCCTGGCACATAGTAGGTGCTTAATAAATGCTTGTTGACTGCCTGATTGGCTCAAAGAATGGTGGAACTATCAAAATAAATGAGAAAATTTGGAAGAATGTGTTTTGGAACAAAAATTTACCAAGTTCTGTTTTGAAAACGATGAGTTTGAGGTGCTTATGGGATATCCAGGTAGGGATACACAGGACAGAGTTGGTAATGCGGGACTAGAATTCAGAAGAAAAATCAGGGCTGGATATCATTGATTTCAGAGTTAACTGTGGTGAGAGAATCATTGAATCCATCTTTTCCAGGTCCCAGTCCTATGATCTCTCTTGGGGAAGATCCTCCAGCTCTAAGATTCTGAGACATTTAAATGCCAAAGTGGTAAATACGATAGCAAATATGGTGCGTGTGTATGTATATAGGTGTGTATATACACCCATGTGCATATATGTATCTGTGCATATATACATGTTACATGCACAAACACATATATGTACATGTGCGTATGTATGCAGCACTACCGTATGTGTGTATATATAGACAGATAGACAGATAATGTACTTGTCTCCATTTGAATGCTTCCCAGAGGCAGCCAGGTGGCAAAGTGGATAAAGCCTTGAGCCAGGGAGCAGGACTTGATTTCGAATCCTGCCTCTGACACTTATTAACTGCGTCACCTTGGGTAAGTCACTGACCTGCTCTGTACCTCGCTTTCCCCATCTGTAAAATGGGGATGATAATACCTACTCCTAAGATCTGTAAATCTATTTGAAAAACGTTAAAAAGCTATTTAAATGCTATTATTATTAAATCTGACCTTTGACACAAGCTGTGTGACTTTCGGCAGTCACTTTACTTCCGCTTGCCTCAGTTTACTTATCTGTAAAATAGAGGTGATAATAACAGCCCCTACCCTGCCAAGGCTGCTGTGAAGATGAAATGAGAAAATATTTGGAAAGCGCGTTGAAAACCTTAAATCGCTATATAAATACTACTTTAAAAATCAGAATGTAAGCTCTAGGCACCTGACACACAGTAGGTGCTTAGTAAGTGCTGGCTGACCGATATATCTTTGAGTCAGAGGGGCAAATGAGGGGAAGGGTCTTCTGGCCGCCAAATCGCAACTCTGACCTGCGGTGGTTGGGATCAGAGGCGGGGGACAGGTGGCGGAGGCCTTGGAAGGCCGGGTTAGGAGTCAGGCCTCTTATCTATCCTAAGGCCGCGGTGAACCACGACGGGTGTTTGGGCGGAGGAGGGAGGAGGACCGTCGCTCCTGCTGTTTTCTTTTTCTTTTCCCTGCCTGATGGAGCACAACCCCGCCTATGCCCCCGCTTAAGCTCCGCAAGCTCCCTTCTCACCCTCGAGGACTCCAGGACGGTAAACAGGAAGTACTTTGAGACTAACGCCGTCATTTCCGCCGCAAAGGGATTGGAAGCGATTGTGACCACGGCGGGCTGAGCCAATCACAGCGCGGGGCGGGCGCCGAGGAGAATGGCCGCCGTGAGGACGGCGGACCTGAGCCAATCATGATGAACGAAGAGGCCAGTAGACCCAATCACGACGAAGCGAGGAGCCTGAGCCAATAGAGGGGACGGGCCCAGATGAACCAATCATGGGGGCCAGTGAGGCGAAGCCAGGTTGGGGGCCCGGCAGGAGGGCGGAGTTTTATCTCGAGGAGCAGCTGGAGAAGCCAATAGTGGGGGCGGAGGGGCGGGGAGGAGCCAATCACAGGCAACGATGGGGCGGGACGGGGCTCATCTCGGCCTGCCCCGGGAGCGGGCCGGCGGTCCTTGACGCTCGGGCGTTCCCGGCGGCGGCGGCGGCGGCGGCGGCGGCGGCGAGGGCGGCGAGGGCGGTGAAGGCGGCCATGCTGCAGCTGCGGGATTCGGTGGACTCGGCGGGCACGAGCCCCACGACGCTGATTCCGACCCACGGCGGCGTGGGCGTGACCGCGCCGGGCGCGGGGCTCGGGCCGGGCGGCGGGGCCGGGGGCAGGACCCCGATGCGCCAAACGCTGTGGCCGTTCAGTGTGCACGACCCCACGCGCCGCGCCCGCGTCAAGGAGTACTTCGTGTTCCGGGTGGGTGAGCTGGCCGCGGGATGGGGCGGGGGCAGCTGGAGAACGGGGCGCCGCGGCTGGGGTCGTGAACTTGACCCTTCGACCTGGGGTCAGGCTTCTTTCGGCTTCTCATACGTTAGTGTTTCCCCCTGGTCAGTTTCCTTTGCATCCGCTGGCCCCCGTCTTCAGTTTCGTGCGTGTAACAGGCTTTGGGCAAGGGTCCAAGAGGCTGCTCTCCAGACTGCCCAAGGGGTCCGTGACCCCAGGATAATAATAAGGTAGCATTAATGTAGGTTTGCCAAGCCATTTAAAAATATTACCTCATTTGACCCTCACCACTCCGGAAGGTAGGTGCTATTATTATCCCTATTTTTTGCATATTTTATTTTTAGAGATGAGGAAACTGAGGCAAAGACAAGTTAGGTGACTTGCCTAGGCAGCTGGATTTGAATTCATGTCTCCTGACTCCCGGTCCAGTACTCTATCCCTGTTTCTGCCCTCTACAAGAGGCCGCAGTCCCTCCCTCCCACTGCCTTTGCTTCTGAGTTTCCCACCTATTCAGTGGGAATCTGGTTTGCATCTCCAGTCCAGACAACAAGCATTTATTAAGCACCCACTGTGTTCCAGGTACTTTTCTAAGCGCTGGGGACAAGTTGTCTCCCTTTTTTAGAGTATGAGCTCCTTCAGGGACTTGCTTTTTGGTGGGTTTTTTTTTTTTTTTGGCCTTCATATTCCTAGAGTCTGTGACATAAACATTTAAGAAATGCTTACTGATTGACTTATCAGCGATCGAATGAAGTAATGTATGGAAATAATTTTGCAAACCTTAAAGAGCTATGTAAATAAATGCTTTAGCTATTAGAAGTGTCCCCTCTCCAGTTGTTTGTGCAATCTTTCCCCTAAATTCCCTTCCTATTTGCTTCTCTTTGCCCGGAGTTGTAATCATTCCCAGTGGATACACCTGGAGTGCCAGCCTACCCGGCACCGTGCCATTACAAATAAATGCTTGGACTTAAGTCCTGGCTTGGCCGCTTACTATCTGTGTTTGATGTCAGGCTAAGTGCCTTCTCTCTGGGCCTCCATTTCCTCATCTGTAAAATGAGGAGGGGGTGGATGATGAGGTCACTTTGGTTCCATTTTGCAGGTAGTGGCCCATATGCTTTAAAGTTTTAAAAGAGCCTTCCATATTCCCACCCTGTGAAGCAGGTAGTACAAGGATTCTGACTGTTTTACTGAGGAGGAAGCTGGGGCCCAAGAATGCAGAGACTTGGCCTTGAGTAACGATAGTTGCCAAAATGTGAATGTAGGTCACCCGCTTCCCATGGCCAGCCCTCTTTTCACTGTACCAGTGATACAGTCTTGATGTTCCTTCCTTCCAGGATGGCACATATCTGGAGGGCAGCCTGGCAGGGTGTTAAGACCCTTATGAATTCTCTGGTGCAAATCTATTACTCTACCAATGTTGGCTCCCAGACAAATAAGGTGTAAAGAAAGCACCCATCTGCAGTAGTAGCGAGAGTTCCTTGAATTGGCTTCCTAAATTGTATGTCTGAAATAAATCACGTGCGAGTCTATGGCAAAAAAAAAAATCCCATTTTGGGTTTGAGTATCTGAAGTCACAGTAGTAGACAAACAGGTCTGTGGCTTCCCAGGCGGCGATCTGGTTATTTTCACCTAAAGGTGAAGGAGTGGGCAGAGATCACAGGTTTTTCAGTATAGGGCCCTAATTCTTGAATGACATGCATATTTTTTTGCCCCTCTGTGATACCGTCATGTTTTTCACTGGACTTGGATTGTAGTTTGGGCTGGGGAGGCGAGGGGGAAGGTGTGGATTGTGACAGGGCTTAAGGTATTATATTACCTTGTGAGAAGGATGGGGATAGAGATGATAGTACACCAAGCCTCCTGACTGTTGATTTTGGGAATCGTTATTCTGAACAGTTTATGAAGCATCACTGAAATGCACAAACACACACACGCACACACTCACATATTCTCTGGATGTTCAAGAAAATTTCGTCACGTCTGAGGAAGGTGTAATGTCTGCTTTCCTTTGTTTTGTTCAAGCCTGGGACCATCGAACAAGCTGTAGAAGAAATCCGTTTAGTGGTCCTGCCCACGGAGGATGGAGAGGTGCAGGGAGTGTGGCTGCTGACAGAGTAAGTGTGCCATCTTGGGGTTAGGTGATTGATCGAATCTTCCTAACTTGGTGCTTTCAAATGCTTCTGGTGAAACCATCTCCACAGAAGACAAGTGTCGGGTGCCAGTGGTGAAAACGGGTCAACACCAGAGGACGATTCTGGGGTTCTTTCCCATCTAAAGCACCACTTTTTATCATGTTATGAGGAGTGTCTGTCTCTGCTAGCTTAGAAACTGTAAAGGTATGGAGAGGCTGGTGTACATAGCATTTCCTCAGAGAAGATAGCAGCTTGTGTTGAAGACGCTATCCTGAATGTCCCCTGGAGCTGTTACCCAGTAGTCCCTGTGAGGGATGAACCATTGTTACTTTGCTCTTACTAACACACACACCCACCCACCCACACACCCTTCTACCCCCACTGCCCACTGAAGGCGATTCTACGGCCTTGTTGAACAGCTAACCTAACACCATTTCTTCATTTATTGAGGGGAGGAGTTACAAAAGATGATTCATTTTCTCTGCCTTACCAGGGTTGACCATTGGAACAATGAAAAGGAGCGGCTGGTTCTCATCACAGACCAATCCCTGCTGATCTGTAAATATGACTTCATTAATCTACAGTGCCAGCAGGTGGTTAAAATATCATTAAATGCAATTGATACCATTTCTTATGGAGAGTTTGAGTTTCCTCCTAAGTCACTGAACAAGTAAGTTCAATTCATGGCTTCAGTAGCACAGAATTAGAATTTAAAGCAGGAGGGCACTTTAGAGCAGAGGTTCTTATTCCAGGCTTTACATACTTGGGGGTTTTTTTGTTTGTTTTCCTTAATATTTAGATAACTATATTTCAGTATAATTGTAATCCTGTGTATTTTGTTTTATGCATGTAAGACTGTAATTTTTGGGAGGGAGTCCATAGGCTTCACCACCCTGCCCGAGGGGTCCAGGACACAAAAAGAGGTTAGCTTTTGATCGAAGAAGTTGGAGCCTCTGCCTTAGAGATAAATTAGCCCAACCTCTGTTTTACAGCACCAGCAGATGATGTATCTCAATGTAACTGCAGTAAAGGAGTTGGACTTAGAAGGAATTCAGGAAGTAGAATTATCACTTGGTCAAAAGTGGCTTGAATTTTTTATCCGTATCTTTCTAAAGAAAGGTTTTCATAACTACAGATATTTAAATTTATGTCATAGCATTTGTACTTAGAATTTTTGAATCCTATTCAAAGAGGCAAATTTAATTACCCAGAATGCAAATGGCTCTTTCTTAATGGTGTTCTTCCTTATTGTTTGCTTTCTGACTGCCTAAGAACGTTTGGTATTGTTTGGGGAAGAAAACTAATTAGGTAATCTGACCTCAGATGGTAAGCCAGATAAATATTTACATGTAAGGATGAGACACAGTAGCTTTAGAGAAACTTCCTCTGTTAAAAGAAACTGTTGGCCTGAAATTAAAGGGACTTTTGGCTTTAGAGGGGTCTGCCTCACCAATAGTCACTTGAAAGATTATTTGGAATAAAAACAAGTCAGTTTTAGACCACCAAGTACATTAAAAAGGACTATGAAATAAATTGTAGTTTAGGGCTCTGGTAAATTGATTTGAACGTATTAAAAGGTTGCACGTTGTCAGCCACTCCGATATTTAACTCCTGCAATGTATCTTTTCTCTGGCTTTAGAAAAGGGCAGCATTGATCATCCTAGTTCTTGGGGCAGTTAAGTTTGAAAAAGAGACAGATGCTTTTTGCTTTAATATCCTTTACAAAGAATAGATTCTTGTAATAAAATGTTTAGTGGCATTCAACTTCCTTGGTCTAATGCTATTGCCTTAGGGGTATTTTTTACATTATAAAACACACGGAAGTTGTGGCTATTTAAATATTAATATGTTTCATAGGGTTAAGTAAAGATTTGGCCAGAAAACTCTTGAAAAGCTAAGACCAGCAAATATTTGTAACTAAGTACCAATAGGACAACCAGAAAAGGAAGTTGAAGTTATGAAAATGTCCATCAGAACTTGTCAATACTGTACTGCACTGACTCAAGTAAATGAGCCTAAGAAGTGTCAGGAATTTAAGCTTAACCTAAGGCATTTTAATTAAATTGAGCAGAATTAAAAGTGTTTAAAGCAGCTGTCGATAAAGGCCACTAATCATTATTATTATTATTAGGAACAAGAATGAATTCTAGATTATAAAAAAACAAGGAGGGAGGGGGAATTCGCTTAAAATATGGGACTTTTTTTTCTATCATATGTTTGTGATTAACCAGGATGCTTTGAATCCTGCTGTGTGACTGATCTCTTCCAATTTCAGGCGAGAAGGTTTTGGGATTCGAATTCAGTGGGATAAGCAAAGCCGCCCCTCCTTCATAAACAGATGGAATCCCTGGTCCACAAATCTGCCTTATGCCACTTTTATAGAGCATCCGATGGCAGATGCTGATGAGAAGATTGCATCTCTTTGCCAAGTAAGGGTAGAAAAAATCCTACTGTGTACCATCACTTCTTGCCAAACCTCATGGGAAGAGGCCTTTAGAAATGAAAATAATTTGCTTCTAGGTTAATATTAGAAAGTGCTGTGAGTATTAACCCATACCACTCAGCAACACCAACCATCCTCGTGCAGTTACACAGCTAAATTTAAGTTAAGACATGGTGATCATGAGCATAACTAGAATTTGCAGTTGATCACACTCCCTGATGGAAGGGCTTGGGGAAGGATGCTTCTTGAAGGACTCAGAACTGACTGGGATCCATCCATTAGGCCTTTCTCTCATCAGATTCATCTCCAAATTATTTCCTTCCAACTCTTGGGAGGTAGGGTTTGCTTTGATTTTGCCTGGACACTAACCTGCTTTCTTCTTTTCTTTAAAGTTGGAAAGCTTCAAGGCTCTATTAATTCAAGCTGTCAAGAAGGCCCAGAAGGAATTCCCTTTACCAGGTCGAGCCAGTGGAGTGCTGGTCTTGGAGCGTCCTCTTCTCATTGAGACCTATGTGGGGCTCATGTCCTTTATCAACAATGAGGCCAAGCTAGGCTACTCTATGTCAAGAGGCAAAATCGGCTTCTAAACTACGTTTCACAATCCACGTGCTATAGAAGTTGTCTTTTGGGTGTTGTGACTTTAAAGGAGATCACCTGAAAGGTAGATGGAGGACCCAGGGTGTGCTTGTAGTTAAGAAGATATGTAATAGTTACTTACCTCTAAGGTTATGAATAGTAAAATGAATTACAGACTTCAGATATCAGATACTCGGCAACAATACAAGCTATACACAAAGGGCAAATTGAATCCAGTTGTCAGTTGTATTAGCTGGTATTTTATTTTCTAATTACTTCTAGTGCTTTTTCTTGAGTGTGTGGATTTTGCTTCTTTTGACATTTCCCAATGCAGCCACTCTAGCATGATCACAAAAAGATCAGAATGACCTCACTTAGAATGTAATGTAACGTTAATCATATACAAGAAGAGCTACCTGATGTCTAGTGCCTGTAGCTACAAACGTTTACACTTAGTGTCAATTTTAATTTTTTTTTTTTTTTTTTTAAGAAAAAAAAGCTTCTTTTTTTTTTTCCTTTTAAGAAGCCAAATGCAAAAGTAGCCAACAGACCAGTCTATCTTAGCTGGACTGAGTCTTGCCTTTGTTAGCTACTGTTGTGGATGACAGTAGTTGTTTTGTAAATATAATTTTGGTCTGAAGTCAAACTTTTTCTAGAATGAATCTAAATTGTGTTAATATTTATGCTACCATATACGGGCCCAAAGAGGTTTATGGGGGGGAAATCACTTTAAGACAACCGGTTTTATTAGACAGTCACCTTGATAATTCTTTGCACATGATTTTATTAACATATATGCTAAGTTTTTTATTGCCATATGAGTATTTAAAAGGGAATTGATTCGCTTTGCTCTTCGAGTACTGCACTTTTTAAAGGCCTCCTGTTAGACTAGCACTAAGCAACTAATGTCTAATATGGTTATCCGTGTGTAGGTAGGTCAGAACATTGCACTCACTTTATCCAAGCTTTTATGTCCTGGTGTGAATAATATAGTTGAAGATGATAGCCTTTTACAAATCGAATTGTTGCTAGACTTCTTAGAAGAATAAGGATCCTGTCTGCCACAAAATATAGTCTAATTGTTTATAAACTTTCCATGCTGTCTGACCAGCTTCTTGGTTGGTGTGTGTATGTGTGTGTGTTCGAACCCTTCGTTTTTAAGCCTCAGACTTAATTGTTAGCTTGTCAGATGACTGGCATGTGTGTGTCTGGAATGCAATACAATGCATGTCCAAAATAGAAAGACTGTTTGAGAAAACACCTGTGTCTCTAGCTTCTGTTTCTAATCTTGTAGTAAAGATGAACCCACCTTTACCAATGTTGTACCTTCTCTGACTTTGGGAAAGTACTGAAGTACTTTAAATAGATACAAACAAAAAGTCATATTCCCCACTTGACCAAAAAAGGTAAATATATGAGTGCCCAGTAATAATTTAAGGGTTATAATTTAACAGAATGTCTGTGTACTTAAACCCAACCCTTTAACCACCTGATGTTTTCCTTTGCAGAGAGGGAAAACATACCAGCTCTGGTAAAGGAAGATGCCAGCACTTTAGAATATAGTCATCGGGCCTTTGGAGGTATAACACCAAGGTTACCAAATAGTTTGCAATAGGGTTTTTTAGGTACAGCTCCTATAGCAATGAATCAGTAACTTCTTCACTTCTTCAACAAGATAAAATGTTGGTTGACAGGCTTTCCCTGGTGCCTAAGGGCTGATTCTAGGATATATTTTCTGTTGGACTTTTCTGAAACAGGCTTAGATTGGCAGCACCTCAAAAGAGTAGTGACATCTCTAAGAGAATAGTCAGTGGTTATAAAAAGAGAAGACGAGGGGAAAGAGGTTCTAGGAGCCAGTGTGTAATACTGTCAGCTTGTTTTCTTGATAGTGGTATCCCAGAAACAATGTAATATATGCCCTAAGTCTATCTTAATGGAAAAAAAGGTACATCACATTGCTTTGTGAACTTTTTGAGTCTTTATTATAATAAAAAAAATTTAGTTTTTCTATGTGACATATGTACAAAGATACTTTACCATAGAAAAATATTTAAAATCAGGGTGTTACTTTAGTCACCCAAAGATTTGATTCCCACCTTCGTCAAAACAAACGTGTATTGGATTTCTGACACAGCAACATTTATTCACTCAAACCCTCAGTCGTGATTTTTTTCAGTACAAAACAAATGTATATTGGATTTCTCACACAGCAGCATTTATTCACTCAAACTAGATATCGAGGAAATCCTTAAGATTTTTGGCTGTAATTATTTAACTCCTTCATTTTCCAAGTAACATAAACACAGCTGATCTTTGCTCAGGAGGGCCATGGAGTCCCCACTTTGGTGCCAACACAGAGAAAGGATTTGAAAGTCACCTGGAGAAAGTAAAAAAAATATTCCAAAAGATTCACAGCAATAAGTCAACTTTATACCAGCTCTTGGTTACCAGAAGGAATTACCAGTTTGCAACACAAAAGAACTGTTTACAATTTATCCCCACTCACCTTCTGCTGGTACCTGCACTGACACGCAGCCTGCTGGGGACCACAGGTACACCTGGCTTCTCCCAGTGCACACAGCTAGCCGGGCTTGCTGGGGATCCCATTGAAATGAACGAACAGCTGACAGATGTTCTAACACCACAAATAATTTCAACTTTTGTATGTCCCAGATCCAAACGGCATTGGGAATGTTATCTAGTGGAAAGAGGAAACTTCATACACGTACACCTTATGATAAGACCATGTTTGTTCCATAGTTAAATATAATTTCTGCTTAGTCCAACTCTTTAAATGTCCCTGTAGAACTGAAAGCTTAAGAGTCAATTGTTGTGTGGCCACTAAATAATTTTTTCTTAGCTGTAAAATCAGCCACAAAGGCTATATTTTGCCTCAAGATAATAAGCAATACTAAAATTGATCTATGTCTGTTACCATGTTTACTGGAACAATTCCTCCCTTTCCCCCATCATGTTTTACCCCCAAATGGGTAGTTTAAAAATGATGTGAACACCTAAGGTCTTGTTAGAGCCTGCTATATGAATTTGTTTTTAAGATAGTCACTATTCTCAGGTGAGTCACAGAATTAACCCTTTGCCTTGGCGGACAGCAATGGCTGTTCTTTCCCTGCAGGAGTAATGGATGGGTAAAAAACCCCAGAAGAGAACACTGTCCTTGGTTTTGTTCTGACAAAGTTCATATGTGGCAAAAGCTAATACGGTTCACAGGGTACTGACCGTTTCTCGTTGCCAGGAAGCAGTTGTCTGGACTAAATGCTAAGGCTCCTATGCCAATTTTAGGATTTGGTCGATCGGTGAGGGGTTTCAATGTCTGTAAAGAAACTGGAGATGAGGCCACCTCATCTAAAAGAGCAAAAAAAAAAAATTAAGTGGAAATAATTTAACTGAGTCATGCAAACATCTAAACAATGTTGGTTTTTGTGTAAAACCTTCACAACAGTGAGGAAAAGAGTCAAAAGAGTTTTTAAGTACTCTGATAATCTCTTAAAAAGAAATGTATCTCTGGCCCCCATCAGAAAGCAGTACAGAAGAGCAACTGAAGATAGACAAGAAAAAGGATCTAGATTGGATTAGGACATTTCCTTTGAACCACTACATTTTCATGTGTAGCCCAGGTAACATCTTTACAAAAGTGCATGTTTGTTTCTCCTCAAACAACAGGTTCTAGGGAACCTCAGCTCACCGAGTCAGCAGTTACTAATTAGCAGACAATGCTTGCTGCACTAATTATAGCAGTTAACCTGATAAATCTATAAGGGAAAGCTAGTTACACACTTGAATGGAAACATCTTATTGCAAACAAATCAAATGGTAGAATAGTCATCTATAGCTCAAATAGCCTCTCTTTTTAGTTTCTAGTTTTTCTGCCCCACCCTAATGTGTCTTAGTTTCCACAGCGGATTCCTCAATTAGCCCCTATTTCATCTCAAAGTCATAGAATCTTCAAGCTAAAAAAAGAGACCTGATCTTTGATCAATCATGTCACAAAACAGAAGATAAAGGTCAGTGAAATGAAATGACTTGCTCTACAAACACAGCATGGTCCCTACATCTTCATGAACCCACACTTCTTCCTTCACCTCCCACTGTTTCACATCTTCTGTCATGCAGATTCTTCACTGAGCAAGACAGACTGCTTTTGGCTGATCTGAGAAAATTTTTTGTTCATTGACATGATGGAACTAGACAATTCAGAAGGTCTTTCTTTAGCTAGAAGTATGAGCAAACAAAAAAATAATCCTGCCATAAAGAGCTATTATAATGATATAGAAATTCAAGACACAAAGGCAGAAGAGAATAACTCCAAAACATCTATAAGCAAAGCCTCAAAGAAAGCATAGCTTGGGCACAAACTCAACTACAATTCCTGGAAGCATGAAATCAAAAAAAACTTCCCAGATCTCTTAGAACCAAAGGACAAAGTAAAAACACCAAGAAAACACTGGCTAACCTCCTGAAAGAAACCTCAAGTTCCCAGCCAAAATCCAGAGCTTCTGGGTCAAAAGAAAAAAATACTGGAAGCAGCCAAAGTACTGAAGAGCCACAGTCAAGATCACAGAAGATTTAGTTGCCACCACCATAAAGGAGCAGAGAGTTAGGAATGGTATTTCAAAAAGCAAAAGCTAAAAGCTTATGACCAAAAAGAATTTACCCAGCAAACAGTATAATTCTACAGGGTTGGGAAATGGACCATTAATGAACAAGAGAACTTCCAAGCACTGCTGCTGAAAACCAGAGCTTTGTAGAATGAAATAATTTGAATATGCAAGTAGAAGACTATACAAAGGAGAAGGGATAGGGGGAAGAGCTGACACTTGAACCTCACTTTCATCTGAACTGGTCAAAGGAGGGGAGTGTACACATACATACACCCCACATACACACAGTTGGGTGGAAAGATACATTTTATTCTATAAGACAACATAAGGGAAAGGGGAGATTGGGGCTAAGGGGAAGTAAGAGGAAAAGACAAATTACAGAAGTATTAGTCTTAACCAAAATAAACTCTAGGTTAGAGAAGGAGAAAGGGGTGGAGCAAACTGCATCAAAACTAGAACAATGGTGCTGAGCACACTCATCTCTGACCACCCTTTTCTTCATAAAGAAGAGGTGTGAATAATACTGATCAATGCAGTGGAGCAACCACGATTCCAGAGGATCCATGATCAATCACATTACTCACCCCCTGACACAAAGGTGATGCAATCAGGGTGCAGACTGAGATGTATGTGTCTATATGCTTATACGTATGTATGTGTGTATATATGTGTTATGTGTAAATGTATATATACATATATATAATGTTTGGACATGGCAAAAACATTTTGGATATGTTGGACTTCATTTTACTTTATTATGAATACTGGTTACAAGGGTTTTGTTTTTCTTTTTCAATGGAGGGATAGAAGTGTTGGAGGGAGAAAAAGTGGATTTTCATTAATTGAAAAAAAACATTTAAAAGTGTAGGTTGAATGCAGCTATGATTAGAAAGGGGAAAATTAACTGGAAAAAAATCTTTGCAGCAGGTTTATCTGATAAAGGTTTCATTTTCAAGATACAGAAAGAACTGATTCAAATTTATAAGACTAAGAGCCATTTCCCAATTGATTAAGAGTCAAAGGATATGAACAGGCAGTTTTCAAAGGAAGAAATCCAACCCACCGTTAGCCATATGAAAAAGTATTCTAAATCACTATTAGAGAAATTCAAAATACAACTCTGAGTTTCTACCTCATAACCATCAGATTGGCAAAGCTGACAAAAAAGAAAAATGACAAATGGAGGGAATGCCAGAAAAAAAAAGGGGGCACATAAATGCACTTTTGGTAGAGCTATGAAGTGATCCAGCCCTTCTGGAAAGCAATTTGGAATGATGCCTCCAAACTTTCTAAACTCTAAATGTCTTTTTACAGAGGTTTCGCTATTAAGTCTAGATCCCAAAGAGATCAAAGAAGGAAGAAATGGACCCATATGTACAAAAATATTTATAGCAACTCTTTTCTGGTAACAAAGAACTGGAAACTAAGAAGGTGCTTCTCATCTGGGGAAAAGCTTAATAAATTATGTTATATGATTATGACAATGTCACTGTGCCATGAAAAATGAGGAAAGGAATAGTGTCAGAGATATGAAGACGACCTATACAAGTGATGCGGGGTAAAAGGAGCAGAACCAGGAGAATGACTTACAGAACAACACTGTAAAGTATTAACTATGAAATACTGCAGATTTCTGATCAATGCAATGACAAACTGTGACTCCAGAGGCCCGATGACAAAGCAGGCTCCCTAACC